TAAACATAATAATTGTCTCTATTTATTTGTTTGTCTCATTGACCAATTTTTTGGTTCTTGGTTTTTCTTCATTTACATTTATAAAATTCAAATAAGTCATTATAGTCAATTATTAAAAAAAAATTCTTAAATATTGTTAAGTATATTATCAAATGTTGTAAATTAATTTTTTAAATTAAAAGATTGGTAGTTTAGTTTGACCCTTGATTTGTTTCAAATTTACCTATAAATAAATTATATTTCGACATTAAAATTTATATATAATTCAATTACTTGAGCGTATTTTAAAATTCTTTATCTATTTTTTCCTATCTTTCATTGACCAATTTTTTTATTTGTTTTTTTTTGTTGTAAACTAAAAAATTAATAACTTAGATTAACCCTTAACTTTTTTTTCTAATTTACCTATAAACAAATTCTATTTTAATCTAAATTAACAAATAATTAAATTAATTGAATCTATTCTAAAATCCTTTATCTATTCTTTCCTTCCTTTCTTTCATTGTGACCGACATTTTTCTTTTTCTTTTATTTAAGTTTAAAAGATCGGTAGTTTAGGTTTGACCCTAGGCAATCAAATTCTGTCATGGTGCTTTCTATAACGAGTGATCGCACAATTTCACTGAATCTCAGTTACGTGTCCCTACATCCCCCATTCATCGGTTGCGAACGATTTAACGAGCCGCACACGTCCCACAATCGATCCCTCCTCCTCCTCCTCCACCTCCTCCTCTTTCTCCTTCTCTTTCTCCTCCTCTTTGACCTTTTCCTCGTCCTCTTCTTCTTCCTCACCCTTGTTCATCATCTCTCTTTCTCTTCTATTTGTCACACACGTCCTTATAACAAGAGAAACCCCCCGTTGTGTTGTATCCGATCTACTATCTCCCTCTTAACGCCTTTTTATTTTTTATTTTTTTTTAGTTTTATTTTTTTTAATTCATCTTGTCAATCCTATAATCTAATATCATCTTGTGTTATCTTTCTCCTTCCATTTTTATCTTTCTTCCTTTAAATTTAATTCATTTGAATTCAATCAAAATTAATTAATTGTACAATACAATTTAAATGTGATCTTCGTATTTAACAATAATTATTTTACATATTATTATTAATTAAAAAAGAAATGTAATTTTTTTAAATTAATAATAATAATATGTAAATGTTGTACATTACTTAATTTATTTATCAATTATTATTAAAATCACTTGTATCGTATTCCAAATCGAATTTTTTTTTTTTTTTAAAGAAAAATACAAGAAAAGAAAAATAATCTTTAATTTGATTAACCATTTCTTTTTTGACGTATGAATCGAAAGATTTCAAATAAATTTTGTTACAATTTTGAACTAACAAAAAGAAAAAGACACAAACATCTAAAATATCTATAAACAACCCACCATTTAAAAAAAAACACACACACACAACACACTTAACCGTTCATTCAATCCAAATAAATAAATAAATAAATAAATCATAAAAAAATTCTAAAATAATTCTAAAGCGTTCATTTAATTATTTTATTATTCATTTATTTATTTATTTATTTATTTATTTTACGAGCAATTAAATACGTCCAACGATGACGATGACATTGACGTTGACGTTGACGTTGACGTTGGCGATGATGACGATGATGACGACGATTTTAATGAGGTGACGTTTCACAGAAGAATATAAAAAAGACAAGACGTAGAACATATTTTTTTTGTTTTGTTTTCTTTTTCTTTTTTTGTTATCCAAAAGATCTTCCGTAAAAGGTTGGAGGGAAAGAGAAGTAAAGCGAGAAGGACGGTGATTATAAACAGCCACGTGGCCCTTGACGAAAGGGAAAACCCCTAGGGTGTTAGCACGCGACCATCGAAAGCCAAACCGAGAATACTATGACGAGAACAATTAATTTATTGTTCGTACCGAGTGACAATTGGTCTCGTATATAGTTTAGAAAAACATGATCACGTGGATTTATTCTTTACGAATGATCATAGACAAGAGTTCAGTTCAGTTTAGTAATGGCAGAATCCCAACGAAAACGAAAAACAATCAATTCTAATAATAATAATAATAATAATAATAATAATAATAATAATAATAAAAATAAAAAAAAATGTTAAACAACCAACGACAATTTTTTCCTTTCTCTATACAAAAAAAATTGTTCTCCTTGAAAAAATCAAGAAAAGAAATCAAATCCTTCTCTTTCTCTCTCTCTTTTTTTTTTTAAATTAATTAATTAATTAAATTTTGATTATTCCAAATAATCGACCTAATTGATACAACTAATAATCAGTGAGAGAAAAGGGGCTGGGTTGAGGAGTGTGGATCTTAATGTTAAATAAATTGTTAATAACGTTCAAGTTATATGTGGTTTTTTTTTCTTTTCTTTCTTTCTTTCTTTTTTTTGTGTCCTTTATTTTATTAATTTTATTTTACCTTTTTAATTATTACTATTATTATTATTATTATTAGCATTATTACTATTATTATTATTAGTATTATTATTAGTATTATTATTAGTATTATTATTATTATTATTATTCTTTTTTTATTATGAAGGGCATGTCTCTTTGGTCGGTTGGCAACAAAGCACCGGTCAGTCTTCGGATCTATGTAAGAAATAACTATTTACATCTGAGTTAGTTTTTTTTTTTCAGTTTTTCTTTTTCATATTTTTTTTTCATATTTTTTTTTCTTTTTTTCTTTTTTTCTTTTTCTTAGCAAATTCGATATAAGTGTTCCATTTTTTTCTTCTTATTTTTTCAGTGATCAATTAATAAATTCATCAGTTAAATTTAATCAATATAATTATTATCATACATAATTTGAATTACGCCTATGTACAACGTTTCCAGAGAAATCTAGAGATATTCTAGATAATCTCTAGACAGATTTTATTTGGGACTGATAATTTTTCTCTTGTTTTGTTTTCTTTGTTTCATCCTTTTTTTCTTTTCTTTTTTTTAACTTTTCAAATCTCCTATTTACAATGACGACACTGATGATGATGATGATGTTGATGATTATGATGAACGAGCATAACGCGTATTTTTTTTTTTTACAGAAGAAGAAAACACACTACACACAAACAAACAAACAACAAACAAACGAATAAACAATAGTCAGCGTGTTACTCGTTCATAGATTTATCATCAATCATTATTTTTTTCTTTCTTTCTCTTTCTCTTTTTATATTATTCAATTGAATGTATCCATTCGAGAAAATACGTTTATTAATTCTCACGTCCAGCGTGACTCCAAGCATTTCATTGGTTTTCTCATTTTCTTATTTTCTTATTTTTATTTTTTTATATTTATTGTATTTCTTTTTTTTCTTTCTCATTTTAATCTTCTTTTTTCTTCATCTTCTTTTACTATTACTACAACTATTGTTACTACTACTACTACTACTATTAATTACATGAACCGAAATGTAATGTCGCTTTTTAACCTCAAAATTCAAACAAATGTTTCAAACAAGTTTTAATTAATTTAATTATTGATTAAATTAATTATTTAATCAATATTTAAAAATATTAGAAATAATTTGACATGCGTAGTAACGACGACATTACTTTTCGATTCATCTAATATTATTTCTTTTTCTTTTTGTTTGTTCTTATTTCATTTTTATTTGTTATTTTTTTTGTTTCGTTTTTCTTATCTTCTATTACTTATGTTTTTTTGTTTGCTTTGTTTTTTATCTAAACTTTTTCCTTCTTTATCAAACAGAGAAAAAAGAAAAACAAATCTTCGTAGTAGTTTATTATTCTTCTTTTCTTTTTTTTTTTTTTTGAATGATTTTCTTCATTGAATTTAGATACAAATAATAAAAAATAATATATATATATATATAGAAATACTATCGAGATGACACAAAGGGGATAGACACAATTCATTGTTTAATTATGTATAATAATTTAAAATAATTATATTCACGATCAAATATATATAATATATTAGGTCATTAAATATAAAATGTCTGATTTCGAGATGAAAATAATCCGAGTAATAAGACATTTCATAATTAATAACCTAACACAATAGAGAATAATTTCGAGAATATAAGATATATTATAAACAATCTTTATCTTTCTTTTTTTTATCCTCTAATTTCATCTCATTCTATTTTTTGTTTTAATTGTTTTTTTTTTATCCTTTCCCTTCTTACGAAGAAAATATTTCAAAATCGAAGGATTTTAACAAATGAATATTATATTAACGATGAAAAAATGCGATTAGCGGAACGAAACATTCGTCGATATATTCGATCATTGGTTGTTGTTTTTTTTTTTTTTTTGATATGTCGATAAAATGACGCTTCTACTTATTTTTTTTTTTTTCTTCGAAATAATTTACACAATTGTTTAAACCAGCCCAGTCTTTCGAATTGACCCATATATATCGACGAAATCAATGATAATCTTATTAGTGATGTCTTTTTATTGAAACTTTAGTTTCAATTATTATTATTATTAATTATTAATAGTTATATTAATATTATTAACATTATTGTTACAATAATTATTATTATAACTAATATTGTTATTACTTATAAGCACAAAATTGTATTTCATTTTTTAATAATATTATTATTACTTATTTTTATCTATAATTATTATTAATTGTATTACTTGCAAATTTATTCTCTCTCTCTCTCTCTCTCTCTTTTGTTTCATTCCTAGTAGCACAAAATATTGAAGAATATTGAATACATGTGTATTTAATATTAAAATGACATTAAATCTCTTTTTCATTATTTTATTATTATTTTATTTAATATATTAAATTATTATTAAAATTAATATTAAATTAATATTAAACAAAATTGAAATATAACTCGGAGTGCAAGGGATTCAAAAAGACATTAAAATCTCTCTTTAATATTAAATACACATGTATTTTTCAATATTTTGTGCTACTAGAGAGTACTGTATAATATTTATCTGACTAAAGAGATGAGGAGAAAAAGATAGGAGACCTAGATTTTTATTTTGGAATAAAAATCATAAGGTTATCACGCAACAACAATAAAAAAAACAAAACAAAAAAACAAACCAAAAAATGAGATCATTGAATTCTTAAAGTTGTCAATGTCTCAATGATTTGAATAAAAATTTCTGTCATTATCGTTTGGTGTCAGTGAACGAATTGAGGATGGGTTTCATAATAATGTTGATGGGTTACAAGAGGAGACGTGCTACCGTTAGTCGTGACTATTTGATTATGCGAATGAGGATTAAGATCTTGAGTACCATTTGGACTATATTGTTGAGAGTCAACTATAACACTGGTATAACCAGCTGTTGATTGTTCTATATGATGATGACGATGTTGTTTAACATTATTACTCGTAGAATTGTTTGTTGTATTCCTATGATAAGGTGAATCGTGATGTTGAAGATTCGTAGGAGTTGGTACACCATTATAAACGTCATTATTATCATAACTACAGTCAGAATACATGATAACACTACCACCTGTCTCCGTGATCCTAGACGATGTTGAATCAGCAAGTTGATGCTGGTGCTGATGCTGCTGCTGCTGATGATGATGGTGATGGTGATGATGGTGATGGTGGTGAGGATGAGGATGTGGAGGTGGTGGTGGAGGATGATAACCAGTTGGTATAGAATGTAAACCAATTGGACTAGGTAAATGATTATCGATTGTATCGGTGCTACCACAAGAACTCGATGACGTTGAATATGGCCTCCTCTGTTGATTACTTTGAGGACTGTGTTGTTGTTGTTGTTGTTGCTGCTGCTGCTGCTGCTGCTGCTGTTGTTGTTGAATATTAGCCAAAGGTGAACCATGATGTAGAAGATGAGGTTGTTCCTGTTGCGTTTGGGAACGTTTCGAATTATCCTGAGGACTAGTTTGATGCAATATTTGGTGATGATGAGTTTCTTGTTGTTGTTGTTGTTGTTGTTGTTGAGGTGGTGTTGATTGTGTAGGTGGTGTTGATTGTTGTTGCGGTTGCTGTTGTGGTTGTTGCTGCTGTTGCTGTGGTGGTTGTTGCTGTTGTTGTGATGGTGGTTGTGGTGGTGGTTGTTGTTGTTGTGGAGGTGGGGGAGGTACCGTAGCAAGTGGATCGTGATTTATATCTGAAAAAAGAGAAAGGTACGAATGAATTATTGAAGCTCACTTTTTATGTGATTCTTCTTACCTCCGTATAAATGAAAAACTTCGGAATTGTAGTAAGTACCATCTTCTAGCATTGGTCCATTAACCGGATATGAAGAAGAAAGGAAATGGGAGTAATTAGAACATGTAATAAATTCTGTACCAGAATAACTAGAACTATCGGTATATTCCGTATCCGGTGATTCCTTGACTCTTCCACGAAAAGATGGCGAACTTGGTATTTGATTTTCCATTTTGTTTGTATTGGCGCTAGTCGTTGGTGTTGACAGGGCCGTACCAGATGGATTACTTGGACCCGTGAAACAAGGTCCTTCAACGCAATTCAATACCAGTCCTATATTTTCTATTTCGGTCAAAACATAGTTAACCGATACTATACAATGTGGTCTAGAACTTCTGGTATTGTTTACGATCGTAGCATATGACTGCATCCAAACCCATCCGCCTAATTTTGTCAAGAATCTATAATACTTCGTTGTAACTTGACCCTTTAATAACACTGTAAAAGAACAAAAAAAGAAACCAAAAGAAAAATATTATTTCAATATATACTCATAAAATATTATATATAAACGATTGTGTGTGTGTGTGTGTTGCGTAATAAAAACAATCTTTAGGTATAACTAAAACTCATTAACATGTTGAGCGCCATGTGATTTTTTACAGAAATCTTTGTCAGGCCCACGCGCTGTAAAACGAAACGTTGAACGTCGGTCACTGATGCCTGACATGGCCTCAACTTGAAGTTCGGTGTCAGTCATTTATGACTGACGTGACATTCAACGTGTTAAAGGGAAGACAAAGGGACAAAACGAAAGAAAAGAAAAAAAAGGTTTTCTGCCTGAGAATTGTAGACAGAAATTTTTTTTTTTCTGGCAGACAAGTAGGCATCGGTGTTGGTGGCATTATGTCAGACTACTACTACCACCTCTTCTTGCCATCACCACCCTCTCACCCTCACCTCAACCACCCCACTCATCTCTTTCTCTTTCTCTTTCTCTTGTTCGTGAAACTGCGAGTCTGTTCAAACAGTGATAGCAGTAACCACCACCTCATCCTCTTGTGCTGCTGCTGCTGCTGCTGCTGCTAGGTGGTGGTGCTACCCTCCGACCCTTTTCCCTTCTCCCTTCTCACTAACTCACTCTCGTTTCTCCGAGTACTTTTAGTATCACCAGCTACTACTACTACTACTACTACTACTACTACTATTATTATTACTGTTCTTCTTCGTTCGATCGATAATATACATATGCCTACATGTAAGGGCACAAAAGGTTCATAATATATAATACTTCTTTCTATCTGTCTCATAAAAATCGTTTAACAGTTTTATACAGTTAAACTTCTATGTAGCTCGTTTAAACTTCAAAAGAAAAGAAAAAGAGAGAAAAAAGAGAATAGATCAAAGCTATGCACTTATGTTCATCAAGTATGGGTGGTTGGGTTGGGATGAGGTGTCTGGAAATTGTCAATGAGATGTTAACCTACCCTTTGTTACAAGAAGGGGGTAAGAAGTTTTAAAGGTAAGAAAAATTGAAGAAGAACGTGTTATCGAAAAAGAAAAGAAAGAGAAGATTGCAACACACACATCCACACACATCCACACACAATCATACATACATACATATAAATAAAATAAAAAATAATACTTCAATAATGAAGTTTCTTTTGTACTCACAGACTCGATGTGCTTGTCTCAGATTAAAAACGTCGCTACCATGAACGTAATGGTAAAGGGTCTTCTCCATGAGATCTTGCGGTGTGTAGCCTGTTAAATTTGTTGCGCTGTAATAAAGATATACGACTATGTTTATATATATAATGTGTGTGTGTATGTGTGTATATCTATATATCTATATCAACATATATATTCTTATCAAGTTTGTCTATTTATGAGAGAGTGTGTGTGTGTGTGTGAGAGAGAGAGAGAGAGAGAAAGGGAGGAAGGGAAAGGAAAAAAGGAACACCTGAATCCACGAATGTTTTTCCTAGCGGTGCACCATTTTTTTTTTCCTCTTTTTTTTTTTTAAGCTCTCGTCGTTGCGTTATCGAGTAAACAAAGAAAATGAAATCGTATAAAATTTCATTGCGATATACACCGTGTGTGTGGAGTCTATGGTTTCTACTTTGTCACGTGTGTTCGTTCCCAGTAGTTATACGTTCAGGAGGAGGAGGAAGAGGAGGAGGAAGAGGTGGAAGAGAAGACACGTAAATATGTATGCATGTGTATATGGATATGGGATATAGTTCGTTCATACCAAGTGTTACATGCTTGTTTTTCTTTGCTACCGTTTAAGAGAGATAAGTTAAAATATCATTGTGTGTGTGCGTGTGTGTGGAATTGATTGAACTATTAAGTAATAATATTATATTTTCACTTTTGACTAATCAATTTATAATATTGCATAGAAATAAATTAAATTTTAGATTAAATCAAACAAGTATATATATATATATATATATATATGTAAAAGACAGTATGTGCATTTGTTTCTTATTTCAATTTACGAGTCTACGAAAAATTCAATCAATGCACGAGTGTAATAACAAAAATGTAATCAATGCACGAGTCTATGAAAAGTTCAGTCAATGCACGAGTCTATGAAAAGTTCAGTCAATGCTCATTGATCATTGACGAATTTCTTCGTAGACTCATTGAAATTTTTTGAAAAATGCACGAGTCCTCGATCATTGACTAATTTCATCGTAGACTCATCGAATTTTTAATTATTTCAAAATTTTGTAATATAAGTTATTGTAATTTTATTTTATCTCCTACAACATATATTCTTAAATTAAACTTAATATTAATATTAGACTTCTCGAAGAAGTGTAAAAAAGAAAAAAGAAAAAAGAAAAACTAAAAATAGAAGAATAATAATTTATAAGATTTAATCTGGATCCAATCTCTCTCTCTCTTTTTTCTCTGTATATATGGCATACCAAAAAATAAAATAAGTGTCGCGTATCTCTATGGGTAAACCACAAACGTTGAATATTTATTTGGCGTCGATAAAAAAAAAAACGAGAGAAAGAATTAAAAGGAAGAAAGAAAGAAAGAAAGAAAGAAAGAAAGAATGAAAGAAAGAAAGGTCCTTGACTCTGAAGTAACACGAAACTAATTTTAATGGCTGGTACCAAGAGAAACAGAGAGAGAGAGAGAGAGAGGAGGACCTTGGTTCTCCCCTTTTTAATTTTTTTTTATTTTCGTTTCTCTCAGTCCAAACACTAAGCTATTGAGGTAATCCGATACCAAACTGTAATTACATTGGAAATAAACAGTCTAATGGTTAACTGTTTCTTTCTCTACTAAATCCGAATGAATTTATAAATATCAAACAAAAATGAATTTTATCCTAACCCGCCACACCCCTTGGCATCAAAAGAATTTATATATAATAAAATAGAAATAGATAATATTGTTTATTCGTTGTTACATAATATTAGGGTTAACCAAAAGTTCATTTTATTTATTTATTTTTTTTTTATATTAATATTTCACATGCACCTATATAAAATAATTTTATAACCTCAAGAAATATATTATCCCATCTTAAAAATAGAAACACGTTCTAACATTTAGATAAACTTTTGATTAATTCTAATAACATGAATTATTATGCTTACTTCGAATCGATAAATAACATTTTTAAATCCAACGACGCCCTGAACATGAACATATTATTGTAAAGTTTGATTTCAGTAATGGCGGACGTCGGAAAGGAATGGCCGACGGCAAGAAGACAGATATTTCTGATACATCTACTAGTACCATCTTCATATTCCGAACCAGTTGTACTTTCAATGATACACTTGAGATAACCCGAACAGTGTATAACCTGTAAAAACAAAAAATATATAAAAAAGAATTAAAAAAGAAAGAAAAAAGTACAAAAATAATAAAACAAAAGAAAGATTTAATTGTCGTTGATCAAACGACTAGTATGACTATGACAATGACAATGATAATAATGATAATAATGATAATAATGATGTTCATGTATGCAAGTTACCCCCTTGAATATAGAATACTAATTAAAAGATAAGCCAATTGCATATGTAAATCCTGTATAATAATAATAATCATCATCATCATCGTCATCGTTATCATCATCAAGTATTGTTACATACTATATGACGAGTATACGAGTGAAACGAAATTAATGGGACGTGGTGGTATATACATGAATGATAAAAAAGAAAAAATCGTTGATGATACTGCAACGAACGAGTACCACGAAGCAAAGGATCATCTTTCAATGGTTTGAGAGAATATTATGAAGTACCAACGTATAGGGAAAGTACAAATTTTCTCGTGTAATCAACAATCACTTCACCTTTTTTTCATCCCTGGCAAATTACCAATTCCTCTCTTCCTTTTACTAATTGAATGCTCGAAGAAGATAAAAAAAAAAAACAAGAAGAAAAAGAAGAAGAAGAAGAAGAAAAGATAAATAATATTTGTTCGGAGCGTCAAACTTTCGTATGTTGGTATTTTTACTCGTGTCTCGAGTAGGTGGTGTATATATTGTATGTGGTGGTATACACACCCTGATGTACACATGCCGACACAATAATTTGTTAGGCAAATAGGCTCGTTCATCACCCTGAGTTTTTCCCTATATGTATGCATGTATATAACCATCGGGTGTTGCATATGTTTCTCCTATATGCACCAAAATTGCATAGCATATAGGAGCATGATGTTAAGGACTTCTTCTCTTCATCTATTACTGTAGGGGATATTCGAGTTTAATGGAGAATGAACAGAAGAAAAACACAGAGAGTGAGAGTGAGTGGGTGACTGAGTGAGATAGAAAACAATCTCTGAGAAGGGTGAACGAACAAGTTCAATTTCGTTCAAAAAATCACATCCCTATAAAGATCTTCAAACGATATTCATTACGAGAATGGCTTATACTCTTTGTCAAGGTGTCGGCGAATCTTCAAACTCATTTGCAATTAAGAGAAAGGATAAAAATATTAATAATTGAGTCTTGTTAACACTAGAATTACCAACAGTTGAGACGTAGCTATCTCTACCAAAACCAGTCAAAATTATTATTATTATTCTTCAGATGCAATTAAATAAAAATTGTATTTGTAGTTTGTGTAATATTTGTAATGTGATTTAGAAATTAATCGAAATTGTAACGTTTAATAATTTGTTTGTAAGACATCTATCAAGATAATAATAAAACAATATATATGTATTCAAATAGTAGTACATACTTTGAATTATTATTTTATAAACTATCAATTAACAGAAATATAGTTTATTAAGACGAATTAGTTTGTTAAGTAAACAAAAATTAATCTCACCGATAGATTTGATTGGAAAAGAAAAGAAAAAAAAGAAAAAAATACATATTTGTACAATCAAAGTATAACTTCGTTTATGACACAACCTAGAAAAAGTAATAAATCGTGTTAATTCGATGAAACAACTAATTCTCCCCAAAAGTGTTTCAATAGGTTTAGTAATAATCTAAATGATAGAGAAAAATTCCAATGACATATGTTTCTCAATGACAATAACTATGATCAAAGTTGAAATAGGGAAGGTTTGTTGGTTTGGTACGAACCAACGAAAAAGGAATCAGTTAAGTACTCGAAAAAGAAAATGTTTGCCAAATAGATCGTTCTCGTGCTTAAACGATCATGGTCACCGTGACACTTCTCTTTTCCTCATATGCACACACACATAAGAAAGTCGTATATTGAAGGGAAAGAGAAAGAGAACATTGTGACTTCGGCAAGTCATGAATGCGACCCCCGTAAGCTGTAGGACGAGCTTCGAAGGGGCCAGGAAACGAGGGTAGCTTTTTCTATGGCACTTAGAGACATACAAAGAACCGGTAGTTGGCTTCTAACCCATTATGTACAAGAATGGTAAGCATTCTATTTGCGTGGCCAACACTTATCTTATGGTTAGATTTATTCAAACCAACTATCATTTTTAATTAATACAATTCTATTCTATTCTATTTAATTCTTAATAAATAATTATCTTGATAGGTGTCTTATAAACAAATTATTAAACGTCACAATTTCGATTAATTTCTAAATCACATTACAAATATTACACAAACTACAAATACAATTTTTATTTAATTGCATCTGATGAATAACATCACTGACTAAATTAATATATAAATATATTCTTAATAAATATATTGATAAATATTTGTCAATAAAAATAATGTTCCTTCGTGTGTGATTTTAATTGCCAACATTTATCTAAGATTTATTCAAACCATCTATCATTTTTAATTAATACTATTCAATTCAATTCAATTCAATTCAATTTTATTTAATTTAATTTAATTCGTAATAAATAATTATCTTGACAGGTGTCTTATAAGTCCTAGAAAAGCGGTGAAGTCAGTTATAACAGGAAGTTCTAATAAAAAGAAAAATATGAATAAGAACTAAGAAATATCGAAATGATTTAAAAGATCAATAAAAAATCGGAAATAACGAAAAATAGGGATAATCCTTTTTCTATCCATAGCAATTAATCACTTTAAGCTGTATCAGTTATGTATATCGAGCACTGTCATTCGCGACATCGATCAATTTCAGATTATAGTAATACTTTTATAACTATAGTTTGGGTAACAAAAAAAAAAAAATATTCTGCATCTGCCACTTTTTATTTATGTTAAATCTACCTGTTATGCATTCATTCGTGTTTTTTCTTTTCTCTTCTTCTTCATATCGTACGTGACTATGACAATAACGTACCAACTTAACTTATTCAAAAGTTTCCCGTATCTCTTACACGGTATTTTTCAATTTTATTATATATATATATAGATTTTACGATTTTCCTTTTGAACCATGGTTTATGTTATACCACCTCTGTTATGTTAATATCATCCGTCCATTTATTGTTCGCTTCAACGTTATACTAATTTTTTTGTATGTGCAAAAGAAAAAAAAAATTAATTTTCTCTTCCTGCTACTATTAAAAAAAAAAATCTCGTTTAACACGTTCCGTGCCAAGCCCTTTTAACCTGACTTGTTATTCAGGCCACTAAATTTTGCTTTATCAAAATCAACCATTACATGTAACTATTAATTATTATAAATATAACTCTCTCTCTATACTGCATTTTCTATATTTATATAGAATATTTATCTTATAATATTTTATAAGAAATATTTTTTTACAGAATTACATTTGTTATAAACATATATTTTCAACACATTAAATAAAAATCTAATGATAAGTGTACCACCGGTGGTACACGTGGCTTCTAGAACAAGTTTAACGTGTATCACTGGTGGTACACGTGGCATAGAACGTGTTAAAAGAAATACATGAAAAAAAAAATATTAAAAAGAATCAAAATATATTTTATAGTTTGATTAATTTTGTCTCGTACCTTGTATCCTTCTGTAACAAGTCCTGCACTTCTTTTAGCCAAGATGCATTTCATTCTTAAAAAAAAAATACGTTCTAGGTCGATTTCACCCCTCGAATTTGGCGGTGGAAACATAAAATCGGTAAAATCGGCTGGATTTTGTGGTAGATTCAATACCGAAAACATTTCTTCATGATCACTCTGACAAATATATTCGTATATATTGTTGCCCGTTAATTCAACCTAAAAACAATCAAAATCAACGACAAAATGAGAAAGTGTTATAATTACAATTATTATTAATTTACATAATAACATAAATAACAATAAAAAATATAATACCTAATAAGACATAATAAGAAAAATAATACATAAAGAAATACATAAATATGTATTTGGAAAAAGAATATTAAAAATTAGATAAAATATTTGTTATTAATATTAGAGTTGTTGTTTTATTTCAACAAATATTTATATGTTAAAAAATTGAACTTTTAATGAAATAATATAATTAATAATATCCTTTCACCAATCCGGTATGGTCTAGTGGCTAGGATACCTGGCTTTCACCCAGGAGGCTCGGGTTCGATTCCCGGTACCGNAGGATACCTGGCTTTCACCCAGGAGGCTCGGGTTCGATTCCCGGTACCGGAAATACTTCTTTTTTTCGTTTCTTTTGTTCTCTATCAATTTTTTTTTACATCTTTCTTTTTTATAAAGATTTATTTATTTATTTTTTACAATTAACTATTATCGTACGAATATTTATGAACTGTTTTTAATGTTGATTACATTGAAAGCAAAACAAGAAAAAGGACAAATCGTCAAATAATAATAATAAGTAAAAAAAAACGTATTTTTATATGTGCAAGTTTATCGTATTTTGCACTGTCATTAAAAAAAATATTTAGAAAATCATAAAGAGAGGAAATGATTGGTACAAATTTAACCTGTGACATTCCTAGATGAACGCTTGCCGTTTCACTAACGTAAACAATTTTTCCGTCAGGTGTCACGACGAATACAAAACCGTCCAGAGTCTAAAACAAACAAAAAAAAGCAAAGAAATGTAAAATTTATTGAACAACATTTTTTACAAAGTATATATATATATATCTTATGTTAGATACTTACTTTCAAGAAAAGTGAACCTAATTCTTTAATACCAGCTTCCAAAGGACTACTAGGTGGTGGTCTGCTACCCCAATCATCTCCCAAACCTAAACAATAAATTAAAATATTTATTTTGTCGCTATTTTTCCTTTTTTGGGAACATCCCACAAACCTATATGATTTTGCATGAATTATAATATCAATATTATTCGATTTTAGAGGATATATTTTTTTATTTGAAACTTAACTCTCTTTCTTTTTTTAAAGCAGCGTTTCTCAACTATACTCGACGATCGAATATAATTTATTTAAACATTTAATTGATTAGTAATATTATGCTTAAGTTATTTCGTGCACATCATCCATTATTTTTTAATTGAATATGAAAATTATATTTTATTTTTGTAACACTAAACCCCTACCAACACTTCATGTGTACCTATTTCTACCATTAATGAAATTTTAGCTAATTGAATTGTGAACAAATCTACCATCTTTTATTTAAAAATGAATAACGAACATAACCTTTTTAGGTTGTAATCGAATTTGTTACAAATTCCAAGATTAATTATGTTTGTTACGTACGTGTTTTAGTGTTAATTTAATTTATCTAGATAAACTTCAAATACATACAAATAATAATAATATTGTATTACACCTTTATTCAAAATTGTATTTAACAAAATAACATAAACTACAATTCATAAGTTGACAAACGCTGATCTAAATCTTGGACATAAGAATATATATATATGAAAGATAAGAGATCTTTCTTTGACTACATCATGAAAAATTCAATTTCTATTCTACGTTAACATCAAATCGAAACAATTTTACTTATTCTTTTTCCGTATAATCTTAAAAAAAAAAAAAGAAAAAAAAACGACGACGAGGACGACCACCACCATAGAACCATCAAGTATGATAATATTCGATCAAGGTGAGAAAATGGGAACGATCTGAAAAAGTGTCTACATATACATACGATGAGGGGTGGTATACTGTGTCGTTTTTTTTTCTTTTTTCTTGTCAAAAGAATAAAGCAAGCGTTCGTATTGTAGAGGGATGCAGCCACTTGAAATTCAATTCGCCGATGACAAGGAAGGAAGGAAGGAAGGAAGGAAAGATAGAACGTAGGAAAGATGGAAAGAACTTAAACGTATAAGTAATAGTAGTGGGTTGTGGGTTGTATGATGTTAGCGTGTATATATGTATGTGTTAGTGTAAAAAAAGAAAAAAGAGTCGGTGTAGAGACCATTGTAACGTTATAACAGCCCCCATACTTTGCTTACAAAGCAGTAGGGGCTAACAATGCATTAAGTGCGCAATCACATCCATCTCATCCGATATTATTTGCCCTTTACGTTGGTAGCTGTCCGGTAGGTAGGTGAATTAATAAAGAAAAGAAAAAGGAATAGGTAGACAGTAAAAGAGAATTTCCTTTTTGCTAAAATGTAAGTCTGATATTTTTTTTTTGATATTAGGCTAAACCAAAAATTTGCGAGTTTATTGTGTTGAAATTTTAATAACAGTTTTGAAACTGAAAACAGTAATGAATTGTTTATAGTAAAAATTTACTTTGAAAATATTCAAATATTAATCGGTAAATATTTTTATTTAGAAAATTTTTGGCTGGATAAGAGTTATATATATCTATATATATATTATAATAATATAATATAAATAATATAATATAAATAATATAATTAATATAATTAATAAATATATATATATGCATACTATATAGGTGTACGTAAAATTCTAGAATTCCAAAATGGCGACCATGGCAGCTTATAGGTTAACTTAACAACACACAAACTCTTGATTCACCCTAATAATATAAAATCGAAGTTTATTAGCTTATTTTTATCTTCTTTTTGTTCGTTTTTTTTTTCGATGGAATAGGAAAAAATCTATAAATAAAAAATCAAATTTGAAATAATATACTTACCATGTGGAAAGAGTGCTCTCATTTTGAGATTGCTAGTAGTTAACCTGATGATACTAGCTTTGTCCAACTGCGATGTAATGGTTGATGGCAAAGGTAAAAGTTTTCCAAGCTCAAGATATTCTTTGTTTTCTTTTTCACGGCGCCATCGGGCCGCTGTTTTACTTTTTTCCTTCATCCCGATTTCCGGTTGTTCCTTCGTTGAATTATTCACCAAATTATTATTATTATTTGTAATATTGTTATTGTTGCTTCTACTGCTAGGAACGTTGTAATTTTTGCTGCTGCTATCGTTGTTATTGTTGTTGTTGGTCCGTCGATGATGATGATGATGATGATGATGATAATGATTTTGATAATAATAATTACGAGAATAATGTTGATTGAGATACTGACAATTGCTCAGATCTTGGTTTGTATCCAACGTTGAACGAACGTTTGCTGAAAACAATATCTTTTTAATGTAATTGAATTAAAACAATATAATATTATCTACAAATAGCTGAATGAATAAATGAATGAATGATTTGAACTAATTTATATGAAATAAATTTCAAAAAAAAAAAAAAGGAAACCATGCTTGTAAAACTTAGTTAATTAATTGTCTGTATATTTGTTTTATTTTTTGGGTATATGAAGAATCTCATTGCTGAAAATGTGTGATTTTTGTGGTTTGAAATCCTCGCGAACAACGGAACATTTGGAGTACCTTGCAGTACCTTGCAGTAGAAAATATATATATATATGTATATTTAGTATCGTTATATATTGTGGACTTTCGAAGGCGTAACAACGTCGAAACTCCTCGTTACAAGAAGTAAGGGCAAAGGGAGCAAGCAAAACCCGTCATTAAAACGCCAGCGAGAGAGCAACCTAACGATGTAGCTACCTATCTCTACCAAGACTTCTCAGGAATGGAAATTTTTCTTGAATAATGCATCATTTTCTTTTTTCTTTTTTTTTTCTTTTTTTTCTTTTTTTTTAATTTCTCCCATGCACCTCCACCTTCATCTCCACCACCTTCTCTCATCTTCCACGTTCTTTTTCTCCATTGTTCCATTATTTCTTTTTTACTTGTTTTTTTTTATCTCGTTTTTTCACACGTATATTATTAACTATATATAATAATTATATATATATATTTTTTCGAATTAATTATAACATAAATAACAAAAAATTTGACTAGAATTAATACCTTTGATAATATTTTCCTGCAGTTTGCAATTCCAATGTTCCATGTGACTACTAACACTTTCTATGCAGATGGTAGAATTATTGCTATTATTCTTGAAATCCGGTGTCATATTATAATTAATAATAATATTATTATTATTATTATTATTATATTTTTCTTTATCTTTTTCTTTTTCACAATCTGCCATTATTGACGAACTTTGGATAACTAAACTATTTCTCTCTTTTTTTTATTTCGTTTTATTCAAACAAACTCCTTTAGATATTTATAGTTGTTTTTCTCTCTAATCAGAATTAACAACTAATTCGATGTAAAATACACTTTTCACTTGTTTCTTTTTTAAACAATTTTAACACACGTGTTTGTTTTCAACTTAAGAAATCGGACAAATTAAATTGATCATTTTTGCAATGAGATTTAATAATGGAAGAACATAACAATAAATATAATAATAATAATAATAATAATAATAGTACTGATATGTATATATGTATATAAAGATACTGGAGGTTAAATAGAAAATAATTAGACGAAACGTACTCGGTGCTTGCAACACGATGTTTGGGAAGTTAGACGAAATTTGTTCATTTCTCACTCTCCCAGTGTTTCTCTTTCTCTCTCTTTCTCTATATCTTTCACATTTTCTATTTCTCTCTCTCTCTTTCTTCAATGTTTTCTCCACCTCTTACCCCCAGTCTCTACCCCAAGCTTGAAATGCCGTTTGCGCTGACAGGGTAGCTAAGCCAGGAGAGGTAACACCCTTATTTTAAGCTCCACCCTTAGTGGAAGTACAGAGTCACTCCAAATCGGAGGGTTTCCCACGCACACGCGCACAGAGACCCAGTGAGAGAGAGAGAGAGAGAGAGAGAGAGAGAGAGAGAGAGAGAGAGAGACAAAAGGACAAAAGAAATACTTTTCATTGGTATGTTCCCAAATAGGTGAAAAAAGAATAGGTAAAAATGCTATTGGATTTTGTATACGACTGTACAATAGGATAGGCGTTACTATAAATTTTTATTTTATTTTTTTGTTTGTCATAAAACATCCTCCAAGTTTTTTACTTCATTATCATTTATCGTTTATTTAGATTTTAGGTATTACATGTGATGATATTTATTTGTATCGAATTTTAATGAATATTCTTATGAGGCCATATTGGATTGGAAATTTAATTACTTGGAAATTCAAATGTTAGGTTAGATCAGGATTGATTTTATCCAGTTTTCTTGTTATTTTATTTTTGTTTCTATTAAAAATCATTTCTTGTGATAGGGATAACTTTATTAACAGTTTATATTGAAATTAATGAATATTGTTATTCGCCATATTGGATTAGATATTTCGTCACTTGGAAATTCAAATCAAAAATGGGGTTAGGTTATATTTATTGGATTATCTATTTTTCTATTTAATTTAATGATCATTTATAATGAGAAAATTTCATTAACACTCTTATCGTGTTTTCATCGTTAATCCATCATTTTCGAAATTAATTATCGAGATTTCTATCGATATATTTGTTCATTTTCTTTTTTCCTTTTGCAATAATTAGAGAATAATTATTGGAATGATGTAAATTTGTTTTATTATTTAAGATTCTCGTTATTATTGAACTCTGTGCCTAGTCTAGCGTGCATTACGGTACATCAAAAAAGATGGGACACTTTTAATCCCATCGTGCCCTAATGAGTTAAAACAAATAATAATAATAATTATAATGAACGATCTTGCGTTATTTGAGCTTGAATTATTACTTATTTATCACTCATAGGGCTAAGAAAACGAAATATTTTTGGATGAAGCTGTCTCTCAGGTCAAAAGACCTTAAGAATAAATTTCACAGTTTCAAAATTTAATACAAGGGTCCATTTTCAACATATGTTCACCATGTGTAATCCATTGTTTAAAATAAAACAACAGATAGAGAGATGAAAACGAAACAAACACCAAAACAAATACAGAAAAGAAATCCAATATAAAAAACCTGGATAAAGTTTGTCAAGTAGTGTGAATCTTTTTCTTAGATTTTGGAAAAAAAAAAACGGTTTTTATTTCGTTTTGTTTTTTTCTTCTTTATAGAGAAATCCATTCAATTTTTGATGGGATAGAAAATACTCCAATCTTCACGTTCGAAGATAATAAAACGTTTAATTACCAGAAACACAAAAAAAAGGTCTCGTTCGAAACATGTGTTGCTTATTCTCGCTTCTTTTCATTGTTTCTTTTCGTTTTCGTTTTCTTTTTTATTTCTTCTTTTTCTTTTTTTTTCTCATCAAAGTTTCGTCACATTCTCCTTATAATAGGTCTTCATTTTCTTTTTCTACAAATTTCTAAATACAGCAACGATCGTAAATTTCTTCATTTTCTTTGAACATCTTTAACAGATGTTAAGGGAAACTAACTAGAAATCCGATACGTATTGAAATTATTTTCAAAAGTTTCGATCAAATGGAATTTCGCAATTTCTCCTAATTAAGGTCTAGAATATTATTATGATACTTTATTAATAATCATCTGATAATAAAATGAAGAGAATATTAACACTTTAATGACCGCTTATACACAACATGTGTGTGATAGCCCGAACAACTATTATTTTTTTTGGCTCTTATTTATTTATAATTTTATATATTTAAAATTATATAAAATTAAATTTGTTGTTAAATTGTTGTTGTTGTGTGTTTTTTTTATGTTAGTTTTTTCTTGAATTTAATACAGTTATTTTAAATTAATTTTTCAAAAATATTACCACAGCTCTTGCCGACGTTTGACTGCGTAGACGTGCGGATATTAAAGTGTTAACATAAAAACAAGAAATAAAATTATTATTATTATTAATATTATTAATTGGCATTAAGAACTTGAAAGTTCATTGCAACAAACGTACGATACGATCGTAACCTTCTTAATTTTTTTATCATCTTTTACAGATGTTAAAAGATAATAACTGGTATCTAAGTACAGATTAAAATTATTTCCAAATGTTTAGATTACGTGGAATCTCGAAATTTCTTCTAGTTAAGGTTTAGAATAATCATCTGTAACGTAGGAAAGAATGAACTTAGGTTTAATATATCCCACCTAAAAAAAATACTAAAATTCCTATGATATATTATATAATATTCCCATAATATATTATAATAAACGGATAAGGGTAATTCAAACAAATAATGAAATTTATAAATTTGTTTCTTTTTTCTTCATCTTTTTCTTACCTCAAATTAATGTAAAACTTTTACTAACACAAAAATTTCGAAGGATTTTCGGAGAAAAAGAAACTGAACAAGAAAAAGACACATATCCAAATAAAATAAAATTTCCAAAAATTGTGGAAAAAAAAAAGAAGATAAAGCAATAAAAAGAAAAAAGAAATGTAAAAAAATATAGGAATGGAGGTGTTTTTTCTATTCTATAAAAAGCAGATGGAAACGTGAAACTTGTCTCGTTCTTGACCATTCTTTGAGATTGATGAGCCGATCCCGCGAGATCATATAACTCAAAATCACCACACAGATTAATTTTAACTGCTAACCTATACATATACATATATAGTAAGAGTTTCTAGGGAATTTCACCATTTGTAAATGTGTACAGGGATTGGTGTAGTTGAAGAAGAGAGAAAGGTATGTATTTCTTTCATTTTTTTCTTCTTTTCGTTAAATTAAAAGAAAAACCTTGAAAACATCCTCTATCCTCTATATAATTTGAATTACCCGCTCCCTCTAAAGTCTTACTAAAGTTATGTTAAACAGTAAGGGTGAAAAGGAACGTTAAGGTGGAGCAAAAAGAGTATGCATGTGATTCGACTCATTTTTTACTATGGAAAGGTTATGGTTGGTAGGTGGGTAGGTAGGTAGGTAGGTTCATTCGTTCCATTAAAATGCACGATCACGTGCACGTGCATTCACCAGTTGTCCAAGAATTTTACTACCTACCACCTACCTATCAGCTACCTATCAATCCCCTTTTTTCATTCTTGTCTCTCTCTACCTTCCTCCATCTCCTATTTTTTATTCTACTTCTTATTTTTCTCTCTCTTTTCTTTTTTTTGGCTTTTGTTTTCTTGGCTTTTCATCCTTCACTAAAATTTATCGCCCTTCCATCACTTAAATATATTTTATTTTAAAATTTTATTTCGAAACTCACGATATATTTCCTTTTTTCTATCCTACGAAATAAAATGTCTACCACCATCCATCCCTCACCGGATATACAGTTGATATATATATAATGAAATAAAAAATAATATATAATAATTATATATTACAAGATGAGGAAGGAAGAAAATATTAGAAAGCACCCTTAAAACCTATCGACGCGTAGTTTCCCTTGAATTTAATTCCTTTATCGTGGTACTATGTTGCTGATCATGCAGTTTGAAGTCATAAAGAAATCCTACACTAACTGTCGAGTACCTTATGTTGATATCTACATTGTAGAATTGCAAATGTGTGTATAGATTCTATGTAGACGATACAACGTCAGGAGTCGAGTTGACCGATAAAGGAACCCATTTCTCCCTCGTTCCTTATGTTTCTTTCTCGCTCTTTCTTTTCTTTTTCTTTTTTTTTACACGTACTCAACTTACTTACAATGTAACTCGTGACGTGTAACAAATAATGACTTGGTACGAACGGTAGTAGCTCTAAACGCCACGATCATATATAAACACGTTCACGAGTAATCCTACTCTTTCTCATGTGTGACAAAACATTATATACAATATATATATATATACTAGGATGTTCCGGCCATGTGTTGCTGTAGTTTTATTATAAAATGTTGATTTAATATAATTCTAAATTATTTAATAAGTTATACAAACATTCAAAATAATACGACAATTACAATGGAATAAATAAAATAATAATACTCGAAAAAATATAAAAAGTAAGATTAGTTATGTCATATATAAATCAGAAAAAAGTATCACGTGAAAAATTCGAAAAATAGCGATAGGATTATTCATCCAGATAAACAATTACAAAATCATAACGTAAAATGTAACATATATAGTTCGGAGCTATAAATTCGAATTAGAATAATAATTTTCCCTTTTTTTTTTTCATTCTTAATCATCTAAAACATGTTGATATTTTCATATGTGTTGTTTTTGTTTCATATATTTGAATTTACATATCAATAGAACAAATGTTGAAACGTTTGGAAGACGCATAGAATACGCGATATAGTATAATGGTTAGTATAATACTTTGTAGAAAGGATGTTGCCATGTGACATCATCCAAAACTCTTGGTACGTGCCCAAGTGGAAAACACACTCTCTGCCGATTATCCATTTTTGCACGGAATTATCGTGTGCCAAGCGAGATAACCAGATCTCGTTCCTCGCGTACAAATCATCTCTGAAGATAACACGAGAAAATTAGACTAAAAGATAATTGGTGA